CATTCCCTCCCACCCTCTCTCTCTCACACACACACACACACACACACACACACACACACACACAAGCAACATGATTCAGCTGTCACATCTACATATCTCGAAGAGGAATAATAAAGCCCCCGACACATCCACCACTTATTTTACAGACTTTTAGAAATTCATGCACGCGTTCTTAAAGTACCAATCAAACAGAAAACCTCTTTTCTTTTGGTCTACAGACGGATGTAAGACTGTTAGTCCTGTGGTCGACGTACAGATGAAGAGTACGGTCTGCTCAGAAGTGGACCAGCGGCAGGCACAAATAGGCGACTGTGCAGGATTCAAATCGGCATCGGCAGGGTCATCTTTCCTCTCCCTCGAAGAACTGCAAACAATGAGAGGAAACCCATTAAAACTCGCTGCCTTCTTCAATAAACCGACTGAACCTTTAACTTTATCTTTATCTGACTTCAAAAAGGACTCTTCCCTTGTTTGATGAGAATCCAAAAGCAAGCAATAATTTGGATTAGCTGTGTTATTGATTATAATATTAAAAGTATGAAAATAAAACTGTTTGATCATTCATCTATATTCTCATGTCCAGCAGTCACTCTGGGAAAGGCAGGGGACACCTTGGACAGGTCACAAGTCCATCGCAGGGACACATGGGAGTATGGCAGGCTCTTTTAACATAGAATTAGCATCGTCTGACTATCCGTAATTACACTCTAGATAGATTTGACTAGTCAAAACGCCTTTGAAAATATTTGAAATGACGTTACCTGATTTGTCATTTGAAGGTTCAAACACCAGTGATTAAAATTCAAACTATTTCAAATGTAATTACGACGAGTAAAAGTTACATTTTTAGATCTCTTTATTAAGAAATTGTGCATAAGCACCCATGTTGCCACTGAGCTGTCCAAACAGTTGCCTGCAGAACTTTGGGTGGCTGCAATGACAGACTATAAATTATCCGTGTTTCCTAACTCATGYCGAGCTGCAGAGGTAAAAAACTGTGTAAAAACAACAGAACCTGAGCTGGACTGAGCTGACACTGCAGATCACTGAACAGTGAATTAAGGCTAAAATGCATAAATCTGTGATGTTTTGACTGATCAGAATAATTATTCAAGATATCTGAAATGAAAAAGTCGTCTAGATGAAAAAAATGTTTGATATATTGAATTCATTTGGTGATAGCGTAAAAGGAATTTTGACCAGTTCAAAATATTGTTCATTACTTGTTTTTAAGATATCTGCAATTTAATTTGCACTAGCTGAATCTTTATGTGATATCTACAAATACATTTAAGATTTCTTGAATTGCAATTATGACTAGTCAGAACAAAAAGCAACATATCTTGAAAGAAAATAATGACTAGAATTAACTTACAGATGTCTTGAACTGTATTTTAAACTGGTCAAGTTTCCTTTTAAGATATTCTGAATAGGAGCYTCCGAACAACTGAATGGTAAATCTGATGTCATTTATGCTAGTCAAAACACAATTAAAGATATTTGTCTAGTTATAAACTAGTTTCAAATACATGGAATGTAAGTGTGGTGAAGCCAATTTTGTGTTAAAATGGCCTGCTATACGTGGAGACACACAACCATCCCCACTCTCACTCACATTTAGGGCTGATTTAAAGTCACCAGTTAACCTAAGATGCACGGTTTTGGTCTGTGGGAGAAAACACCAGGAGAAAATCCACAAGTGCATGAGGAGAACACGAACATGAAGAACTATGAAGTGACTTCTRTGGTAAAATAATCCCACYTGAGTATCCTCAGAGTAGTTCATACTGACCCTTTGTGACGTAAAGATAGAAGAAGTCGCAGTAGAAAATGGTCTGGACGACCCCCGACACGACAGCRATCTGGTCGAAGAAGCCCTCCGTATGGTAGCGCCACAGCCAGTTGGCGATGTAGAGAGCTCTGTAGAGGCCGAGGAAGAACAGGTAGTGGGTGGTGATGGACTCCGCCTCGCCCGTCTTGGTGATCATGAAGAGCTGCGGCATGATGGCGACGGACTCCAAGAAAATGGAGAAGGTCCACAAGACCTGGGTAAAAAATAAATAAATAACATGAGGAGGTTTTATCAATCGACGCGTCGAAACTTAAACCAGATTAGCTGCAAATTAACTGTTTTCACTGTTTCTACGAGGAACTTTTTAGCTTTTAGTCTTTTACCTCCAATGGGGTGAAGGAATAATTCTCCAGGAATGACAGCCCAATGACCGGCACCAACAAGAACTCAACCCGGAACGTGTCGTTCTCTGAATCATACGTGTTCCTGAAGCGCATGTAGATCAGGTACACGGTTGCATAGGACAGAGCCAGAAACACCACCTGAGAACAGAGTCAAATACTGAAGATAAGACATCCAGCTTACCACAGGCTGCGTGCACCACAAACTGTTGGCTGCCTGTTTTACATGTCACTACAGCCTGAACCGGACGTGAGTGTACGCGTGTGTGTGTGTGTGTGTGTGTGTGTGTGTGTGTGTGTGTGTGTGTGTGTGTGTGTGT